TGATCAGTACCCATAACTGTCATGTTACCTTCTGTGAAACATCATCCGTCATGTGAGTCGATAACTATCATGACACCGTGTTTTGAATCGGGTACGATCGGGAGTACATGGGAACGGTGGAACGGTTCGTAGAAATTCTTCTTTTCCAAGTGAGACTCGGGCTCCCAGTAGTCTGTCTCACATCCCCCAGCCAGGATATTTTCCCTTCTACCTAAAACTTCCTTTAACCCCCTTTTTTTGGGGGGTTTATCATTTTCTAGGTGAGACCTACTTTTTGACCGACCCTTGCATTTGAATATGTTGCAGCGAGAACGAAATTATCCGTCGACCCCTGAAAGAGACATTGTGACATAAACCATAAACCAGGGTGCTAGTGACAACAAGCGAGCACAGATCTCATCCTGGTGATAAACAGTTCATGAATCTAGTCTGACATTGACCGATTAACCAAGGCCTGTATACATTGTTTTTAATGACGAGATGCATTAATAAATCTCGAAATGTTTTGACATTTGCATGACACTATGTTTTGATTTGAAATATACGTTTATGTTTATGACATGCGCGTTAAAAAGTGCATGTTTTTCACCTCCTTCGCGACATTAACAGAGGTCGCCAACCTCCTAAGCGACACATGCACTCAGTGTCATAAAGTTTTCCGTTAATGTCATTTATTATACAGTAAGGTCGATTGTTACCTATACACACTGTCATTTTATTGTATGGGCTTTCTGGAAATGTGTAATAAACGTTTATGCACGATCAACGTGTCAATGACGTCACATGAGAAACGTGCATTTTCATGTTTCACTTTCCTTTGTATGTGCACGTACAGATGTTGCAAAATAACGGAACAAGAATACGCATTTAAGCGACAATCCATATCATTTTATAAAAAAAACCAGCTTTGATTAGAATACAAATAAATTTAGGAAATGACTATATCGTGTGTGAATTGTTATTCAACAACCGTCTGTGGAAATCCTTGTCGAATACCTACCTAAATGTAGTTGTGCAAGAACAGTATGTCTTAACAGTATGATAAATAAAAAACAAATTACTCTTGTATGTAGAAATATATATTTAGATGTATGTCAATAGAATGTAGTTATAGATAAATAACACATAGATGCATTTGTTTATAATCATGTATTTATATGTAAATAGTTTGTAATTTAGTTGTAGATAACTAAGAGCAGCACTGTTTACAATAAGACATATGTAGTTGTATGGTAATATATGTAGTTGTCGGTAAATACCACCGAGTTGCACTTGCATATAGACATATATACTAAGTTGAATTTTAATTAGTAGTTGTAGATAAATATATGAAATACGTTGTACTTATCTTTATTCTTTGTACGACGTTTCAGAGATAATGAAGGAGCAAGAATTAGCTCTGAAAGGTTGAACAAAGAATAAAAAGCTGTTATCTATAAAAACGTGTCATGTATTCACCCAACATTTAAATGCCTTTCAAGAACTACACATGTATATTAGAAACTGGAGCTTGAAGACGTCACAATTAAGACCTCCGACTGAACCTCGAGGCAAATGACAACTTGTCAGGTTCGGTAATAATCACCTGTCAGGTATTGTCGGTGTACATTGAGACATGCAGGGATTACACAGTCTCACATTCATCACTAGACAGTCATACAATCATTAGTACTGATACACTCAATCTAAGCGACTGTGAGGTGAAAGGTGAAAGGGGAAGGCATCTTTGAAGGTGATGTAACAGAGTTGTCTGCCCTTTATCTTATGTCCGCAAGCCGATTCATTTAGATCCTTCTCGGAAAGGGATACGTACGGTTATATTGGTACTGGCTTATGTCTGGGAGTATTATTGGAGCCGCTGTTTGGATTACATTGAAAGGAATTCAGCTGAGGTAAAGTTGAACGAAATGTCGTTTTGTGCTCTGTATTAACAATATATTAATTGATCCTTCCATTTGAGCGTATATATTTCGTACGATCTTTTAAACTTGAATATTATTCTTCAGTCGACTGAGGATTTGCTGATTATGGGTTCAAGTTTTCTTTTGACACTATAATGAACCTTTACTTTGCGAGCACCAAAACCAATTGGGGGCATTATGGGCGAGCTGGCTAAGGCGCCAGGCTAGTTGTCCAGCGAGCTTGAGATGACGGGATCGAGCCCACCTGGGACCGGGTGTAAAAACCTTGGAGTCAACTTTGCGTGCAGACTCTCTCAGTGTTGTCACAACCCGTAGTGTACAGTACACAACCCTGTGCACTTAAAAGAACCCACGAATCCGTTGGTAAATGACCAGATGGTGGCCACATGAATACGTGCAAACACCTAGTTGCGGGTACAGCAACGTGCAGTAAACTTGGACAAAGTGCTGTGACTACGTGTCCCAGTCCACCCTGCTGTGAATGGGTACCTCGTGAGAAAGCCACATTACCTCGTTGCGCCTAGTGCCTGCAAGAGTTGTATGGTCCCCAGGGAGTTGAGATTGATAATACATTGTGTCGTTTGAGACTGACATCCAATGCTCGAGGGTAAAACAAAGCGCCTTTGAGCAGGTGATCTGGATATTTGCGCTATATAAATAGATATAAATAAAATAAATAAATAAAATAAATAAATGCTCGTGGGTTGCACCAAAGTGGAAAACATCGTAACCCTGCACCACTTTGGGCTTTCCTATATCCACTACTTTCATGTCCACGTCCTAGAACTACGTCGTTGAAGTGGTCACCATGTGTTTTAGGTTGTAATTCTGTACTTTTTCTTTACCTTGCTTGAGGGCACGTGTGGCCCAGTTGGTCTAACATTCGCTATGCAAAAGTGCGTCTCTTGGGCCCGCCTGCAACCTAAATCGTGGGTTTAAATCCACGTTTGCCGATGATTTTTCTAGGTTTGTCAGCACCCTAGCCGTCCTCGTGGATGTAAAGGGGTGGTGTTGTAGCCTAGTGGGTAAAGCGTTCGCTAGTCACGCCGAAGACCCGGGTTCGAGTCCCCACATGGGGGAAAGCCTATTTCTAGTGTCCCCCGCCGTGATATTGCTGGAATATTGCTAAAAGCGGCGAAAACTTGCTTAACTGCATCACATCCGCCTTATTTAAAACCTCAGTTTTGATTTAAATATATATCAGGTAAATCAAATTAGCTTTCGAATCTTGTTTCCTTGTTATTTTACATCAGCGGACATTTGTATTTATGCATGGAAATGAAGGCTTGACCGAACATTCAGGCGTACCCAGCGTGCATGTTGTACTGAGGCCAAGGGACGTAATTCCCGTGGGAAGTACACACTCTCTTGACATCTCAAAGCCTCTGTGAGACCTCTCTGGTCATGAAATGGAATGATTTATTGGACAATGACATGTTTCGTGCTTTCACATGAATACCATATAAAACCTGTCAAAACCTATCAAAAATTTTCACACTTACCAAGTGATCACATGTGTAGCGGCTCGACATCAAGAACCCGAACTTATTGTAAAAGACAGACATATGGTCAGTTTAACCAACTTAACAGCATCAGCTATTCTTTGGAATGACATAATTCTGTATACGGCATTAGTTGTCAGACGACTAAACCAAGATTCAACAGTGACATGGTGCATTTAAATTATTATGACGAACTGGATTCAATGTCACGGATTGAGGAATGCGTCCCTGTGTGTGTGTGTGTGCGTGCGTGCGTGCGCGTATGTATGTATGTATGTATGTATGTATGTATGTATGTATGTATGTATGTATGTAAGTATGTATGTGCCGAGTAGCGTCCCTTATGTGCTAGAATGGTAATGATCCTTCGCTTGTTATTTTTCTGACATGACTGACTTGCATCACAATAACAGTGATGTCGAGATTACGGACTATTTATCCTATACCAAGTTAACAGTGATGTCGTGATTACGGACTATTTATCCTATACCAAGTTATTAGTGATGTCGAGATTACGGACTATTTATCGTATACCAAGTTAACAGTGATGTCGTGATTACGGACTATTTATCCTATACCAAGTTAATAGTGATGTCGTGATTACGGACTATTTATCCTATACCAAGTTATCAGTGATGTCGTGATTACGGACTATTTATCCTATACCAAGTTAATAGTGATGTCGTGATTACGGACTATTTATCCTATACCAAGTTAACAGTGATGTCGTGATTACGGACTATTTATCCTATACCAAGTTATCAGTGATGTCGAGATTACGGACTATTTATCCTATACCAAGTTAATAGTGATGTCGTGATTACGGACTATTTATCCTATACCAAGAGAAACAGTGATGTCGTGATTACGGACTATTTATCCTATACCAAGTTATCAGTGATGTCGAGATTACGGACTATTTATCCTATACCAAGTTAATAGTGATGTCGAGATTACGGACTATTTATCCTATACCAAGTTAACAGTGATGTCGTGACTACGGACTATTTATCCTATACCAAGTTATCAGTGATGTCGAGATTACGGACTATTTATCCTATAGCAAGTTATCAGTGATGTCGAGACAACGTAAAATATATTGACTGTAGTTGTTTCCGGCGTTATAGACATGAAGTTGTTATGCAGTACAGTCAAGAAAATTAACTTTTTGTTTAACTTTGTAGCCAGTGTTGTCGAATAACGTAATATTCATTGATCAGTGACTGTTTGATTGTTTCATAGACATTTACATGTAGAATTTCCGTAATATACTATCACAGAGATATCTATCGCTGTCTTTCTTTACAACATCGTGATAATCTATTTTTTTGCTACAAGTGTTGATAACATAAAGTTCTGTTCTCTTGATAACATTACCACCTATGTCACAGATAGATCGATTAGAATGGAATAACGGATGACGGTGTGGTTGAAAGAAATCAATATTTTGGCATAATCTGACATTTACTGTTGACACAATATACTGTAAAACTGAAAACGTGGGGACCGATGCCATACTACAGTAGACAGTTATGAATGAAGACGTCATATATAAACTGTTTCTTTTATGTTTCAGGATTTCAACAATAAACAGTTGTACAGTAACAAGCAAAGATGATGTGCAATACTCTGCTGAATTTAGCAGGTAAAACATGGGCTTACAGTGTATGAGTGAGTCATATCACGGCGTAGCATTTTTATATGGAAGGAAAGCTGCATTTTCTATAAGCGATTTTCTTGGGTTGGGGCATATTATTTACATTATTTTATAACTGTGTAAACTATCAAAACGACTTGCTGACTTAGATTTGTACACAGGGTTGACATCATAGAAAAAAACGCATATTGAAATCAAGTTTTACATATATTTGTCAACAATAACTTCACAGAATACCTATTTTATTTTTAAGACAAAAAGCCCTGTAGACAACGATTTAAATATGACATCGTTCAAAACAGTAATGTAGTGCAAGTCGTTTTTTTCTATCAGTCAAGAAACATCATTTCATCAGTGGACGTGGTCTACGTTTTCGGTTTATGGAAACACTAAGGGATGTCCGCTGATGTAAAATAACAAGGAAACAAGATTAGAAAGCTAAATTGATTTACCTGATATATATTTAAATCAAAACTGAGGTTTTGAATAAGGCGGATGTGATGCCGTTTAGCATGTTTTAACATCCACGCGTGAGTGAGTGAGTGAGTGAATTTAGTTTTACGCCGCTTTTAGCAATATTCCAGCAATATCACGGCGGGGGACACCAGAAATGGGCTTCACACATTGTACCCATGTGGGGAATCGAACCCGGGTTTGCGGAATGACGAGCGAACGCTTGGAAACGCTAAGTGAAAGAAAAATCACTTATATTCTGAATCAAATGCCACCGTATTGCAAGAGCTGACCTATTGGATCGTGTGGTCAGGGTAGGAAGTTCATTCGATTATGTGGTGTCTTCTGTGTGGGTCGTCCTCACAATCAGTAACTGGGATGTCAAGTCCACATAAAATAAACAAAGAAATAAAGTAAATATTTCATCAAACATATTTTAACAAATCCCGTTGAAGCATTTTTGTAAACAATTTTATCCGTAAAATAGCATCAGCCAACTAAATTGGGTTTCAACTGTACAGAATTGCAGTCAGTTAATATATTTAGTCGATTTGGAATAATTCATTTTCGAACAAACCAAGTTTCCGATAAACATGTGCACCTGTGCGTCATTTATCGATTAAGTTTCAACTGGCAAAACACTCACAGAATTGTTCATAAACCTTCCAAAGTATTCTAAAGATAAGCCTCTAGGATGAAACCTGACATCCATGACACATTCAGTACTACGTGTTGACGACGTGATGTCATCAGAGAGGCGTCAGTTTACAAGCGAGAATGTGTATGTCGTTATAGTATGACGTAACATATGTCAATGTAGGCGTTTGTGTGTATGTCGGTACATGATATGTAATAATGATTAAGTAGGACATGTGTAGTTATCAAACAGTGCTCGCTTTTCCTGACAGTGTGGACGGTGTTGGTGGTGTTGGCCGCGGGCTGCGATGAACGGTGCACGTCGGCGTTCCAGCAACGTCTAGCAGAAGCAGCACAGGGCGGCAATGCTTCATCCTCCCTACAGAGGAGCTGCGAGTACGTGACACCTTCTTTTCTCGCGTTATATTATTTATTTATTTATTTATTTATTTATTTATTTGTTTGTTTGTATGTTTGTTTGTTTGTTTGTTGTTAAAAGCCGCACTCAGCAATTTTCCCGCTACATGGCGGCGGTCTGCAAATAATCGAGTCTGGACCATAGCATGTGTTGTGTACAAATTACTTTAATTATGCATAGTTGGACAAGTAACATATAACTCCAATACAATAACCAACCAAATATGGACACAGAGTGAAATATAAGTATATTACGTGTCACTAATTTGTATTGTGTGTTTCTACGTATAAAACATCAACGCGGGAGAAACCCGAGTCTCAAATGTCAGACTAGGCATAACATGCAAAACAGACCCTCTACAATCTGTTCCCTTATTTCTGTCTGTCAGTATATTATTTGTGGCCCATAGACTGGAAATACCGTATATTTAATGAAATCATTACACAATCATTATTATAAAAAGATGCAATACACAGAAACCATCTCATTTGTTTTGATTTCACAAACTCGTTGTTATGAATGTAACTCAGCTGTCATTGATCCGGTGCCAGGGCCATCAAACTACACCTCCAGTGCCTGGGTGAGATCCGGCCCAACTGTAACACCAACCAAATACAGATGGTCAACAACACCATCATCTCCATGCAGGCCAACTACGACAGGTCCTGCACCGAGGGTGGGTACCGTAGTCACTCTGTTTGACGACGCTGTGAGAGCCGCTGGTTCTTACCGTTGATGATAGAAACAAATGTTTATCATTATGCCACTAAAAACATTTTTTTCATAAAAAGCCAAACGTTAATCCGGTAGTTAATCCGGATCAATCAAGTCTGTTCTCATATAACAGTACCGTAACGTAACATTAGACTGTACACTGTAGATGTGTATGTGTGTTTTACGTGTGTGTGTGTGTGTGTGTGTGTGTGTGTTTCACGTACGTGTGTTTCCTGGGTGCATATGTGTGTGCGTGCGTGCTTGTGTTGTGTCACAATGACGAAAACTTCAACAGTAACGTCCACTGTAGATAATATACTCGCAAGCTCGGTCGATATTGTTTTACTCAGGTCAATAAAAACCGATATCGACCTCTACAAGAGTCTATAATTGTTTTATTATATAATGAAAGAGAAACGGGTTTGATCTGATTGGCTGAAAAGCTGGGGAAGTACCTTCGTACGGGATTCCTTGTCTATTTTTAGTAACCCAAGTCAATATCGTAATTTATCAGAAAACTCAAGTCAATATCGTGTTTTGTAGTCAATCATGTGACGGTCTTTTGACCAATCTTGGTACAGGAAAAGTACTACCTATATAATAAATGTGTTTGTTTCACATATACATAGTATGTGCGGTGTTTTCCAGGAAGTGCCACGGCGGACGTTGCTAACTGTGGAACACGCTACATGGTCTGCAACGAGAAGTTCAACACCACCTTCTTCCCCGCCCTCAATGCGTATGATCTAACAGCAGCATGCGGGTGAGTGTAACACCGCTAACTTGCAAAGGAAATATTTGTTTGAGGGGTTGGTGATTTATTAATAATGTTACGTCATCTACAATGATTGTCTTCCTATTCATAATAATGTAGCACAAGCATGATTCAAATGTTTTTACACGAAATAATAGTGTTTGTGAGAATAGTCAGGAAAACTAACACGACTGACAAACAGAAGATCCGGATTTTCAGCAACCCATGCTTGTTGTAAGTAAGAGGCGACTAAGAAGGTCGGGTAGTCAGGCTTGCTGACTTGGTTGTCATGGTATCCCAGTTGCCTAGATCGATGCTCACGCTGTTGATCACTGTATTGTCTGGTCGATTATTTGCAAACCGCCGCCATATAGCTGGAAAATTGCTGAGTGCGGCTTAAACAACAAACAAACAAAATCCAACCTCAATGACCCCTATCTCCCTGTTGGGCCACGGACATGTACGAGTATTCACGAATGACATTCCGTATGTAACGAAGCAAAACTGATTATCATGTTTCATGCTTGCCCCGCTCACCAGCTCCCTGAACAACTACACGGAGTGTGTGGAGTCGCTCCTGACGTCCCCCGACTGCTCTCAGTATGCGGGCTACGCCGTCAACACCATCAACGGCATCAGGTCCCGCTACTCTTCCACTTGCGAGGGAGGTGAGTAATAAGAGTTATCCCCCTTACAGATCGACCAAGCCTATTTACAATGTAAGCATGAACTCTTAGTCTCTGAAATGATAAAGGCAACGACATTTGACCTATAAACGGACCCTGTGACGTGTTAATCTATACTAGCACCATTGAGAGCTCAAACATTGCAGAAAGGGCTGATTGAAAAGAATGATTCCGTTTATGTGAGACACAAAATTGTCTACCAAGTCTGTGTGGTACATACTTTCTTTGGAAGAGAAGATTCTTATCTATTCTTTGTCTATACGATGATTTGTTTCGTAAAATATGCCATTCTTACTACTGTTTTTTTTCAAAATAAAACTAATGAAGTCCCTCTGCAGGGTGACTGTGTGGGGTTACGTCTGATGTATCATATGGGGCAAATGCTTTACTTTCCTGTTACATTCTTTGGTAGAAAGAATAAGTTCATTTATCGCCTAAGACGTCACAGTATAATAGACGAATAATATATTCTAGATTTCAGTAACACATTTCGATATTTTAAGCACACACATTCGGAGTACCCTTCTTAGAATTTCTCAGTTTTTAACCCGTCACACCATGCAGCATCTTAAGCCTGGGCACCTGGACTCTAGAACCTTGGAGCATCGTTCCTCTTCGAACTAAATGTGTAATGAATACATTTATGTACTCGCAGACACCGCAGCAACTGGAGCCAACATGGCACGTTGTCTTAATGGAACCATGGAGTGCTTCACAACCTTTAACAGGACGTTCTTCCCATCTGTCCGGAAGTCAGACATGAGGCTCATGTGCAGGTCAGGTCAAGTAAATAATTCCGGTCGTGTTGTATCGTATCCGTAATAGAGGGTCGACAATACGTGAATGTTTCAGATATATATACTATGACATTGTCATAAGAGTCTAGCTTAGTGAGTGAGTTGGGTTTTACGCCGCTTTAGCAATATTCCAGTAATATCACGGAAATGGGCTTCACACATTGTACCCATGTGGGGAAGTGAACCCGGGCCTTCGACGTAACGAGCGAACGCTGTAACCACTAGGCTTGCCCACCGCCCCAGAATCTAGATTAAGATATTTTTAAGTGAGTGAGGTGGGTGAGCCGTTTTGAAGAGTATTCCCGTCATATCACAGCGTGTCAACTTCATGTCCAAGGAAAACCTGAAATGATGCAGGTCTCTGACGTTATCACTTACCGGCATATATGGTGACGACTGACCTTGAAACATTTGAACACAATCATAACTTTCTGGCGTCTCCAGAGGACGAAACCCTGCACAGCGAATCGTGGCGCCCTGGACGCCTGGGTCACTCATGCCTTTTTCGCAGCGTTAGGGAATTCTGGGAATTAGGGCGATGGAATACCCTAGAGGTAAAGAGTTCGCCTGTTAAGCCTAAAGTCCAGGTTTAAATCCCCCCAAAATGTAAAAAAAAGTAGAGCCGTCCTTGACAATGCTTCAGTATTGCTGAGCGAGGTAAACCCAAATTCAGTCATCCATTCTTAACCCCTCTTATTCAAAACTACCTTGCTGTCGTATCAGTTCCTGTTTAATGCGACCCATGATTACACCATGTTGACGATTTACTGTGTTTATATGTAGTTCTGTGTCCAACTACTCCAAGTGCATCAACGCCCTGGCTGCTGACCCGTCTTGCCATCAGTACACAGCTCAGGCTGTCTCAAGCATACAGGTGCTCGAACAACAACACAAGGTGGCGTGCGGAGAAGGTAGGTAACTCTTTAAACGGGGAATAGCTCTTGTATCAAGGAAAGCGCTGCAGTGATGAACGGTTTGATTGAAATGTGAAATATTTTGTCGTGAAGATATTTTGTATATTAATCACGACAAGCAAACAATGATTACTGTCCACGTAACTTGAGTCTGATGTCATTACGTTTAGATGGCGGGACGAAAGCCACTGAGTGTTTGAGAAGCTTCAGGGAATGTTATCAACACTTCAATGAAACCTTCAACCCAGCTGTCAAGACCATGAACATTGAGAAACTCTGCCAGTAAGTCTTTTACACACCACTGATTGGTATTCTAGTGGGTGTCGTTTTATATAACAGGCAGTAAATGTTTGTGTAATTGCTTCAAATCAAACAATTTTGAGTGTGAAAGGAAGTTCAGAACAATGGCATTTTAATCCTTAAAATATTTTGCTGCAGAAAAAACTAACTCACTTCTCTTTCTCTTACTGATATTTTCTTGCATTTATCGTACGTTGAGTTCAGGGAAAGGGACGATAGTGTAAAAGCTAATTAATACCAGCAACAGTTCACACAAATGGATCGTGTAAATCCACGTAGGAGGGTTGAGGTACATAGGACGTCTAAGCAGGACCCAGTATCTCTGGATCAGTTCATGATCATCATCCTGTTTACACAAAGAAACCGAATCTTGTGAAATGTAATGGAACCTTTCTCTTCTGTAGGTCAATGGACGAATACAAGGTGTGTTCAGTTGGAATCCCCGACGAATGTGACACGTACCTGGGCCAGTCCGTTGACGGTCTGGACAGGATGCAGGCTCAGTACTCGCAGTACTGCACCCCAGGTAGGCAATACTCTCAGTACTGCACCCACATAAGCTGGCTATACCGTCAGTACTGCACCCACTGTAGTACTGCTGGCTATACTGTCAGTACTGCAACCAGATACGCAATACTTGACTATACTGCAACCAGGCGTTGACTATACTAGCAGCACTGCACCCCATGTAAGCTTGCAATACTGGCAGTACAGCATCCAAGGTACACTCATTATGCGCTCTGTATTACACCTCAGGTAGGCTGGCTACGCTAATAGTAATGCACCCAGGTAAGCTTGCAATACTCGTAGTACTGCAACCCCAGTAAGCTGGTTAAACTCGTTACAGTGCACCCCAGGTAAGCTGCTTGTATTCTCAGTACTGCGCCCAGGTTAGTCGGCTATACTGGCAGTAATGCACCAAGGTAAACTGTTTGTATTCTCAGTACTGCGCACCGGTGAAGCTGGCTATACTCTCAGTACTAGACCCCAGGTAAACTGCTAGTATTATCAGTACTACAACCCTGCTGGCTATAGGTAGTGAACTATACTCATGCCAATAATGGTTGTCACCCCCATCAAAATTTTTTTATTGGAGAGGGGGTGTGGGGGTGGGTTGGGGAGGGGTGACAACCATTATTGGCATGAGTATATATTGAAGGCTTGACATGGGTATCTGCTGAAAGACCCTACCCAAAACCCCACTCCCCACCCCAACCCTCAGCGTCCTTCTGGGCTGTATTGCAACCTGTAAAATCTATTTTTGTATCATGTATTTCCAGAGAACAAGAAGATATTTGGCTGCGCCCCCCTGTCCTTGTGTAACCGCAACCTCATCGGCAACCTCACCGTCAGCGGCGCTGAATCAGGCATGCTCTGCATGTAAGTACGTTTTGTTCTTCCTGCTCTTCCACGCATCGCTTCGGGAAACAGGAACCACATAACAATAGGAAGCGAGATCAGAATTGCTATAATTTAATAATATTCTGAATGTTACGTAGTGTTATGGGAAAGTTACTTTGATGTGAGGGAATATTGGACTCTATGTTCATGAAGCTTCAGAGACCGCACTCACTCTCAGGCTCCTTGAACTCGTCATGCGCATGTGTCTCTACGTCATGACATTACTTCAAAATGTATGTTGTCGCGTTACGAAGAGACATAGTTCCCGTGTGGTCCTGTTACTGTGACTCTGTTTGTGTGTAAAGCTATGGAATCCTGGAAGGGACATTGTCGCGTTGTCGCATTGTCGCGTTGTCGCCCTCTCAAATACAAGCAAAATGAAGCAAATTAACCAAAACGCGACATCGCGACAAATGGGCGAAATGTCGCGTTGTCGCGATGTCGCGTGTCGCGTTTTGGTTTATTTTGCCTCACTTTTCTTGTTTTTGAGAGGGCGACAATGCGACATATCGACAATGTCCCTTCTCGGATTCCATATAAAGCTGTAAGTATCCCAAGCCATTAGTATGTGACGCTGTAAGTAGGTGGCATTCTTAGCATACGATTCTGTCATAGTGTAACACTGTCTCTATGTTCAGCTGTTTTCCTGTGTGGATGTCAGTATATGTCGCTGTTGGTTAACAAGGCGCGTACAAGTATTGCTGTTAGGCTGTGTTTATTCTGAATTCTGAGCAATCAGACAATCAGCAATCTGTCACTCAATAGTTATCTGAAAGCCCAATGGTGACTGTGTTGAAACGTATTGCTATCCCTGTCCCCCAGGGTACTGGAGACGTACTTCCCCTGTGTGGACGAGGCAGTCAAGCAATGCCACCTGTCTGGGGACGGGATCTCGGCCATCTCCTTCCGTGACCTTGGCCTCCTCTCGTCCAGATACTGCCGGTCAGGTGAGATCTCGCGTGGATATTAGATGGAATATAGATGTGGATTAAGTTGTCATCCAGACCCTGAAACAATTAGACACAATGAAACCCAATGCATGTCTAGAATATGTGGCAAGTCTAGATTACCACGAGACCCTGAAACACATAGACACAATAAAAAAAACAATGCATGTCTAGAATATGTGGCAAATCTAGATTACCACAGTTCCTGTAAATGAAGAAACTCACTGTGCTCCTTTTTATATTATCTATGTCTATAACTGGTTATTATGCTTATAACTGTATTATTTTCTGTCAAATATGTTCATTTCAGAGACGGGATGTCAGTCTTAATAAGTTGCAGATAGTCTATGTTTACTGACACACAATCACAAGGCACAATAAACTTTAACTCGAAGGATAAAAAACGATTTTAGTAGTAAATATTTACTCGCGTGACAAAAGGTAATGAAAATTTGTCGAACTGACATTTTTGTGTTTCATTATACCATTTCTAAATTGCGTGTGTTACAGTATATTAACTATGACTAAGCCCCTAGTAGGTCTAGTATCACTTTGTGGACAAATCTGGCGATACAGAAACACAGCAACACATTCATGTAAAATCCCCGTACATTTAGACACGTCAGATCTGTCCTGTGATGCTCTGTAAGGAATGTCAGGTTGAATGTTGTTGCAGACACATGTTCTAATGTTGCAGTGTTGGCGAACCCCGCCATCAAGAGCTGCATGAACTTCATGCAGTGTCACGCCGCCCTGGACCTCACTAACATGAGTCCAGGCATGATGGTGGAAGGAACCTACTGGTGCCAGTGAGTTGGATAGATGCCTAGATAGTCCGTATAGGATATATGTATAGGATATAATATACTGAGAGAAGTGGTCCTTTATTATTTTCCAGTTTTCATCGCCACAGCGCTTTTCAAAACTGGTGATGAAAACTGGAAAATAATAAAGGAACTCATGAATTTTCCTGTGTTCCTTTATTTGTTTCTCTCAGTATATATAGAAAGGTACATACCTTGATACTAGTATACTAGATAGCGTGGAGAAGCATGCATGACTGGATACATAAATACAATGTACTATGTGGCCAGATAGCTAGAGATCTGAAGCCTGTTATCGTATATGGTCATGTAACTAGATACAAGAAGTCTCTTGATGAATATTTTTATAGATAGCAATATACTTGTTGCAGTTGGTGTCTAAATTGCTAGATACTGGTAGTCTGTTGATTTATATAAGTTAGATGGCTAGATACTTATAGCCTGTTGATGTTTATGTGGCTAGATAGATAGATACCTGAAGTCTGCTGACTTGTCATTTGATTTATGGGTGGCTGCATAACTATATACTAGTAATCTGTTAATGTATTAGGGATATATATTTCTTGGCATAGGTGAGTGAGTTAAGTTGTACGCCGCACTCAGCAATATTCCATATTCTATATGGCGGCGGTCTTTAAATAATCGAGTCTGGATCAGACACGACAGTCCAGGAACAGCATGAGCATCGTTCTACCAACGATGACAAGTGTCAACCCAGTCAGCGGGTCTGACTACCTGATCCCATTAGTCGCCTCTTACAACAAGCAGGGGTTATTGAAAATTAATTCTAACCCGGATCTTCAGGGGCGTCTTGTATAGTCATCCAAACAGCGAGATGGTAATATTCTGTTAATGCATACAGGTCTCGATATCTAAATACAATTGCACTGTATTGATGAACAAGTGGTTTGATGACTAGGTACTAGTTCTCAGTAAATTTAGGTAATATGGTTGACGTGTTTGCGAATTCTTTTTTCTTTCTTAACTTATTGATTGTCGATGATCATTTTGTTTTGAAAAGTTATTCAATGCTATTTCAATCGTATGGATTTGGAAAAATCGCACGTGGACGATGACGTTTCAATGTAAGCGACATAACACTGCGCCTGACACACGTGGACGATGACGTTTCAATGTAAGCGACTTAACACTGCGCCTGACACACGGGTGACGATAACGTTTCAATGTAAGCGACATAACACTGCGACTGACACACGGGTGACGATGACGTTTCAATGTAAGCGACATAACACTGCGCCTGACACACGGGTGACGATGACGTTTCAATGTAAGCGACATAACACTGCATAAAACTGCCCTGACTCACGGGTGACGATAACGTTTCAATGTAAGCGACATAACACTGCGCCTGACACACGGGTGACGATGACGTTTCAATGTAAGCGACATAACACTGCGCCTGACACACGGGTGACGATGACGTTTCAATGTAAGCGACATAACACTGCGCCTGACACACGGGTGACGTTTCAATAACGACATAACACTGCGCCTGACACACGGGTGACGATGACGTAAGCGACATAACACTGCGCCTGACACACGGGTGACGATGACGTTTCAATGTAAGCGACATAACACTGCGCCTGACACACGGGTGACGATGACGTTTCAATGTAAGCGACATAACACTGCGCCTGACACACGGGTGACGATAACGTTTCAATGTAAGCGACATAACACTGCGCCTGACACACGGGTGACGATGACGTTTCAATATAAGCGACATAACACTGCGCCTGACACACGGGTGACGATGACGTTTCAATATAAGCGACATAACACTGCGCCTGACACACGGGTGACATAACGTTTCAATATAAGCGACATAACACTGCGCCTGACACACGGGTGACGATGACGTTTCAATATAAGCGACATAACACTGCGCCTGACACAAGGGTGACGATGACGTTTCAATGTAAGCGACATAACACTGCGCCTGACACAAGGGTGACGATGACGTTTCAATGTGGTTTATTGTTGTCCAGCTACATGGAGTCGTCGCTCATGTGCAGCTCTCGGCTCATCAACGCCGGCCAGTGTAACGTCCAGAACAGGAACGACATGATCAACAACATCCAACGTCTACGTCAGATGCAACAGGCGACGTGTACAATAAGTAGGTGGAACAGCTCATCAAATGTCAAAGCAGTTTCCCGTAAAACATTGTTTAATGCTTTTAGTTACGTCAATTTTCTGCTTTTGTTTTCTCATTTTTAAAAATCTTCTTTCCATATTTGAACCCTGACAGTCAAGCTTGTTTCGAGTTCAATTCCTAGTCTTAATATCGCAACTAGCGGTGCTGTCAAGTTGAAATTAATTGTCTCTATACTGAGAAAATCGAGAAAAAAATGAACACAACCCGGTAACCTCGTTTCTGACTGGAATTTTTCATTGGCCATAGAAATTATTTTTGTCTCTCTTATTCTGAAGTGCTTGACATTGACAACATGTATATGTACCTACGTTGATTGGCAGCTGAATGATGGATCGATGAAAACATGGTTCAGAGCAATGGATCTTTTTCCATTTTTGTCTTTTTGTTAATTGTCTGTTCTTTGTCAGTCGTACATGATTAATGTATGCATTCATTGCCATGATATATATGATACATATTTTATCTTAAGATATAGTTTATTAATTGTCTTTATCCTTTTCTAGTTACCTTACTTAATTCTAAGATGATTATTCATTATGTACCATTGTGTATTCATCGTTGTACCGGTTACCTTTTCATAATTTGTAATATTACTATACCGTTGTTTTGTCTAACCTGCTAAACCCATCTCCTCGCAGCTACACCCGCACCGACAACGCCAACGACTACCGTTACTACAACAACTGTAGAGCTGAAGGAAGGTAAGTCTGTCCATCACATTAATATAAGTGTATCTACTTGAACCAGTTGCAGTATTAATACATCAATCACCGGGAGCGTCAGGTGATTTGGAAGAAGGTGGGGAAGGGACTGTTACAATAGGACATAACATGTGGGGCGGTGGGGTAGCCTAGTGGTTAAAGCGTTCGCTCGTTACGCTGAAGTCCCGGGTTCGATTCCTCACATGGGTACAATGTGTGAAGCCCATTTCTGGTCTCCCCCGCCGTAATATTGCTGGAATATTGCTACAAGCGGCATAAAACCAAACTCACTCACTCACATAACATGGTTGACTGTGTTCATGGTTTTATGTGTTACCCTGTTGATTTGTGGGTAGAAAGGACTTGGCGTCTACAATAGACGTGGCTGTCATTTAACTTTGGATTGGTCCTTGTGTTGTGTGGATCTTGTTTGATGTTACGTGGTCATGCACCAATCACAATGCAATATTTGATAGCAGGATAAGTTGAATATCACCCGTCTTAACACATTTCAATATGCTATATCTAGATATAAAGAAGACCGATGAGGACAAGAAGAAAGACACAGACCCAGGGAGTGGAGGTAGGCTAACAATTCTATGCTGGGTATTTGGATGGCCCTTTGTCTGACCCGCCCTCGATACCGACCATCACGAATCATTGTGAAGCCTTATTCTCCTTCTCCTGACAAGACCATCACTTTGAGGGTGTCAACATGTTAACTCGTTCTCCACTACCGGTATCACCGCCGCGATGTTGCTTGACGTTCAGGAGGCGTAGAGTTACATCCCCTCAATCACGTTTTTATCAAATACAATTTTCTCAACTTTCCCCGTCCTTATTCGATATTCATTTAACACATCAGACAGTCGGAATGGTACAGCGGACATATAATATCACATTCACTACGACGTATTCTGTTTGTGACTTAATGAATGTATTTGAAATCAGCTGTCAATATCTTGTCTTCTATCTTAAATTGCCAAAGGCGCAATCCGGGCGGTAACGTACTGTGAAGTCATTTTCACTCTTGTTAATTACAATCATACGTTAAATTTTAAAGAAAGGGAAGTAAAAAAAGTTTAATTGTAGATCATATATGGAAGTAATTCTGTTAAAATATAATGCTATAAGAGTATAATGCTGAAAGTGTAAGTTAATTATACATTTGTACATGTGTATTTGTATTTTCAGGTTCCACATTGACCTTGAGCTTTGTGACCTTGGCCCTCACCTTTGCGGCGACGACATTCCAGCGTCATTCTTGAAACGATTAACTCTTCAATGAAGTGAACTTGGAGGACGAACAAAACAAACTGCCACCCAGTAACGCCAGTCTTTACTTCATTTGATATACGTATGCTGTTTGTATCTGCTGGAAATTTGTAAAGAATTACTTGATACTTAATTAAAGATCATCAGTCAGAACTCGCTATCGTTAATAAGTTAAGGAGTCAATAGAAGTCACTTGAAACTGCACCGAAACATCTTCAAATCTATAATTTGGTTTGTAGCATTATTTTCAAAATCTTCTGCAAATATTCATATTTACGTTGCATTTTGTGTAATATTTCCCAGCTTGTTTTAAAGAAGTAACTGGATTCTCATATATGCATCTAACTGTACTTGGGGTGTATTCACGAAGCAGTTGGAGTTTGATGAGCTCACGATGACTAAAACAAGCAATGTTCTGTCCAAATGACGACTTGCGGGTTGCAAGTGATTTTGGAAAATAATTAACACTTTATTCAGTTAACTTACGCACCGTGAAAAAAATTGAAACACTGTTGAAAGTAGCGTTAGACCCTACTCACGAACTCAAACAAACCCTTCGCAGTGCCGACAGGTGGCTCTCGTGCCTCGATGACGGCACCTATCGTTGCCAGAGCCGAGAGCCCTGCGTAAGCTTCGTCTATAGACTCTTTGCAACCGTTTCACGAAGCAATCTTAGCGTTATGACTGTCAAAAACCATTCTACATAGATCTACGGCAGTCATTCCACTAGGATTGCTTTGTGAAACCAGACCTTTGCATTTATGAATGACGTGTTTGTAAATAAAGTACATTTTATGTGTATGTTTTATGTGTAATTGACACTTTGAAGTGAAGTGGAAATGACACTGGGACAACAACTTACAACTTGTGCATGTTACTGCTACTGTAACCTGCTACTATATACTATATATGTGTTGTATATGTACATTATAGATTTGTCTGCCAGTGTAGATACGTATGTATAAACAAGTAACCTGCCACAATCTACTTAAACAGTATAAACACGATAAAGAAAGCTAGATCATAGTATTATTCCTGTACAGTCAAACTCCGTTCTGTCGACGTTGAAGAGACCCACGGAAATAATTCGAGTTATCGATACAACCGAATAACACATAAAGAGTACGAAGGGACCAATCAATTACAAGGAATCAACCGTAAGTTCGACATATCAAACGTTCGTCACAACTATGTTTGACTGTACGTTTATGTAGTCGTGTATGTACTTTGTCAGATTAATTTATTTTTGTGAAAATTTAAGTATTGTACAAATTTAGTCTTGCTTTAAGAAGTAAAGGATTTGGTGTTCAAAATAAACGTTTAACTTGATTAAAGAGGTAATCTTTACTTCTGAAAAATTCACTTTATATTTATGGATGTATTTTTTGGTTGCTCTCATTGAAAGGTATTGTACATACGTTTATCGTCTTGTTATCATGTTAGTCATATAGCAGCGTAAATTTGGGGAGAGTATTGTTCATCGCCATGTATATATTGGAAGTTGGAATCTAGCAAATTAAAATAATAGTGCTAACAAAATCTGCAGTATTTTGTGAAAATGACTTTTTCATTCGAACATAATTTGTTTCCACGACAACAAGCGTTTTCTTAATGTTTGCTAAACTGACTTTTACTGTAAGATTATGTCATTGCATACGTATGAATATTTTGGGAAAACAGCCATGTAAATTGTGGCGGAATTTGATGCCATTTCAAAACATATTGTCTTAGTATTTGACAGTAATTTAGCTCTTAAATTGTACACTTTGCTTACGTCTACTGAAATGTGTTGGGAAAACTTAGATTGTCTTAGTAATTGATAAACCAAGATTTGCTCAACAATTGTGTGTTAGTGCATCTACATTTGGATTATTTTGAATGAAACGACATTTCGATTAGAATAGATTTGGTTACGATGACAACATAAAATTTCTAAATGTTTGATAACCACATTTTGCTCTATAATTGTATGTCATTTTACACTTCCTCTGGAATGTGTTGAGGTAACGACAGTTGAAATGTGTTGAGGTAACGACAGTTGAAATGTGTTGAGGTAACGACAGTTGAAATGTGTTGAGGTAACGACAGTTGAAATGTGTTGAGGTAACGACAGTTGAAATGTGTTGAGGTAACGACAGTTGAAATGGAACAGAATTGTTTACCATGATAACATATACTGTCTTAGAATTTGACAAAAGAACTTTTTCTCTGTCATTGTCTTGTCATATTCTCCATCCTGCGGACTTTAGTTTTGGGAAACGACATTTTATTGTGAATATGTTACTATGACAACAGATGTTTTCAGATTATTTGATAAATCAAATTTTGGTCTATGAGTGTTTGTCATCCGTTGTATTATCATATTAACATCATATCTGCAACACAATGTTTACATAATACCATATCAACAGCATATTTACAACACTGTACACGGGGGTGTCTGTATTACCATGTTAACACTACAACAACAAAATTCCACGATATGTAAATGTCACCACATTTTCAAAGAAATACCAATGACCATATTGGCATCACATTATCCACACTACATAGGGATCACAGTGTCTATGCTACTTTGGTATTACAATGTCCTCACCATCACAATGTTAAAACACAACGTTCCACACATTCTCAAGCCCTGGTATCGAACACAGAGAAGGGTGTATCATTAAGTGAATGAAGCGCAAGGAAAATATTCTCACTATGACCAAGTTTTTTCTCGGGCGGCTTGAGGAATTGTTTTACGGGTAAAGTTGACCATACAACACCCGCGTAATTAAATCCTGAGAACTGAAGAACTTCTAACATACTTCTCACTAGGATACCTCACATCTATGTAACGGGGCAATACAGTTCCAAAGGCCTGCTAGCCATCTATGAGCGGGTCGAATACACTCACTCACTCACTCACTCACTCACTCACTCACTCACTATCAAAAGGCATTGAGGTCAGCTAAGAATACATGCATTGCCGACTCTTTATAAAATGACGCAGTGCAATGGCTGCCAATCTGAATATGATGTCATCTGCCAGTGGGCTACATGAATGGTTTAATCTGTATGAAGCGCTAGGACAATCTACTCAATATCCCACAGGCTTTCTTTGGTTGAATCAGCACCAAGCCATCCCTGATTCGGGCAGACCACTTCCCACAAGGCTGATGTCATCTATGACTGGTGAATACACTTTTGAAAGGACTACTTGCCATCTCTGATTCGGGCAGACCACTTCCCACAAGGCTGATGTCATCTATGACTGGTGAATACACTTTTGAAAGGACTACTTGCCATCTCTGATTCGGGCAGACCACTTCCCACAAGGCTGATGTCATCTATCTGACTGGCGAACACACTTACAACAGGGTTACTTACGACAAAATACATCACACAATGTGCCCCTCTAGCCATCTACGCGATGAGCGTCTTCAGGAACCCATGCTTGTCGTAAACGGGGTCGGGTGGTCAGGCTCGCTGGCTTGGTTGACACATGTCATCGTATCCTGATTGCGTAGATCGATGCTCATGCTGTTGATCACTGGGTTGTCTGGTCCAGACTCGATTATTTACAGACCGCAGCCATGTTGCGATACTATTGCTGAGTGCGGCCTTAAATAACAAAATAACCAACCAACTATATGATGGGCGAATACAGTACCAACAGGGCTACTAGCCATCTAGTCTGTCTCACAGTCCCTGAACCACATTAATTTCCCTACTGCCAAGCCCACTCTGCAGTGCTAAAGCCCTAAATAAAGCAAGTCTAGATTTCCTCAGGTTCTGAATCTCTGGTCTCCCTAGGGCTCCTTTTCAATATAAATGGGCTTGTTTGTTACTATCAAAATTATATATATTCAGAGACTAAGCCTTAGTCTACTAGCCATCCAGCGAATACACTTCCACAAGACGGCTTATCGCATGTCCGATGGGCGAATGCTACCGAGCTGACTGATAGCCTTCCCTGGTTAATACAGCTTTCAGTGGGCGGCTAGCAACCTGTGAGACTGGCGAATACACCTTCTAATGGCGTGTTATCCATCAACTTGACTGGAGAATACACCTTCTAATGGCGTGTTATGCATCAACTTGACTGGAGAATACATCTATAAGTTGATTGCAAGCCAAATGTGTGACGGTCGAATGCACCTTTATTAAATAGCCTGTTATCCATCAATGTGACTGGAGATTACACCACCCGGCCACCCGGCCACCTGTGTGGCAGCCGAATACACCTGGCAATCGGCCGCTATCTGAATGTGATGGTTTCCCCAGTTTGCAATATGCTATTTATATAGATTAGTCAGACTACCTTTCTCAAAGTGTTGTGCATGAATGGGGGTTGGGATTTTGCGTTCGGATAATTTAGGTCAGAGAATGTTGTTTTAAGGCGCAGTTAGTAATATTCCAACTGTACTTGGGCCCCAGAACGCCCCATGGGTATTACACACAGGACCCGTAACCAGTAATGTACTTTGTAAAACAGTTATTGTGTAATATTTCGAAAGACCCTTTTCGTTTCACCCACGTGTTTCTTAGATACTGATACAATAACCCTGTTTGGTTGACTGCTGGGTGAAAGATCCTTCCTGTAACTGGCTTTTTTTTCCAAAGTCAAACCTAACGTCCTCTAAATGGATAGCAGCAGTACAAGGCCACAATCGGTATCACTGAGCTCTTAATATATCTTTCGAAAATAATTACCACAATCTGCAAAAATCTTCATAACAAGACGTACTATCTTTCCCCTTCTTTGTACGTAAATTTCCCAGATTCTTGCGGCACATGAACAATGCAAGGAGTTGAAGCGCCGCTGGGAGAACGCTTGTAATCCTTACCGCTCTAATCAAGTGTGACTGGACCAAGGAAACAATAGCGAATGCTATGCTAAGTGTGGTTTATGTGAACTAGACTGGGCCCGGACTGCACTTGGTGCCGGGAGTTTAATGGGACCGATGTCCTTTATAATCATCGTGTGTAATTAAAATACTCGTGCTAACTGTACGGGAAGTTTGACCCGCACTAGCAGAACGTAGGTGACCAAGTTCCATACTGACAAACCATTGCCTTGTGTATATATTGTTTAAATTGGTGTAGGGTAGCCCATCGGATGAGGCGTCACTATGAAGAGAGTTCGATTCTCCACAATGCGTGAAGCCCATTCTTGATGTCTACCGTCTTGTTACCGCTGGGATTATATCTAAATGGGATAGAGTTACACTCACCCACTCGTTAACATTTATATTGCTTTAATATGCGAATACACTGAACGGAAGTTATGCAGGCAATATCAGAAAATGTTTTATAACGTATTCATTTATACGTTTCTCTGTACCTAGATGTCTTGACCTGCATATCTATCTGCTTTCTTCACACGAGTGAGTGAGTGACTTCTTTAAACAGTATTCCAGTTCTATAACAACGTTCACTGTTACAGAATAGTCTGTCATACATATGACTATAAAACAGATATACATTGTATATCAAAGAAATACCAAGCAAGTCTAGAATATGTCTGAAAATGAAGAAAATCTCAGGGCTCCTTCATCATATTTTAATTTCTTTACTATGAACTGTTTTTTTTCTGTAAAATATGTTCATTTCAGAGACGAGTTGTTAGTCTATGTTACAGAACTGAAATATTGTTTGAAGAAGTCACTCACTCACTCACTCACTCATTCACACACTCACACACTCACTCTTTGTCAAAAGGGCTTTTCCGTCAGCTAAGAATATATATATCGCTGTCTCTTCATATAATGACCCAGTGCAAGAACTGCCAGTCTATAGAGCAACTCAAGCGTCGTAGATTGGGATGAGATATTGGATCCAATATGATCCAGCTAGGAAAACAGTGAAATCGGGACCAATGGCACGCGTCCAAAAACCAGTCATTCTCTAAACCCCGTCCCAGCTGTTGAGAAGGTCGACATATGTGGAGTAATATACCAGTCAGTACCCATGAATTGTTCAAACGACACCTTGTTAAACCGGACGTTGAGTGAGTAGTCCCTTAGAACGGTATTCACGGCAAGATACAAGATATTTCTATTGTGCAAACGTTCCATGTCGAAACAGAGACAATTTTCTATAAACTACATAAACAAAATGTATTGCAGCTGTAGGGTACATGGGTATCACAGCTGTAGGATACATGGGTATCACAGCTGTAAGGTACATGGGTATCACAGTTGTCGGGTACATGGTATAACAGCTGTAGGGTACATGGTATCACAACTGTCGGGTACGTGGGTATCACAGCTGTCGGGTACATGGTATCACAGCTGTAGGGTACACGGGTATCACAGCTGTAGGTATCACAGCTGTATCGCCATCAATAGGCTGTTCCTGCACATCAAACAAGTGCCGTATAGAGTTGATGGTTCGACTGGAGACGTATCAGTAGACAAGGCAACACATCCAACTTCGCCTTGTGCCCGTGCGAGGTTATTATGGCTAACAAAGTTTGACCTCTGAGGACAAAAAGTGCTGTCATTTTGAGCAGTTTATCGTTTTACAGAGTGTCTAATGGATGCATAATAGATCCATTGGTCATGCTCGGGTATTAGAAATCCTGGCGTTGTAACAGGAACTGATCAGTGGATTGTGTGGTCTAGACTCGAGTTTCCACATGCCGCTGTCAAATGTCAGAAGTGTTCCTCGTTGTTGCATTAGGCAACAAATAAATACTTGCCTGTTCTTGAAGACTGTGTGAATGATGGGTTCTACCAGTAGACCAGGACACGCTCACACTTTTCACGAGCCCCTGTGTCATCACCGGTTTTCAGTAATCCCTCCATAATTTCCATCACTACTTTGCTTCAAAGATCAATGGCATTTGTTCCGACAGATAATCGAGACTGCTTTGAATTTATACAGCATTTAGACTTCCAAAGAACACATTACTTGAAAACGTTGTACGTGAATTTCATATCAATATGGAAAAAATCCTCTCACTATATTTTGGCGAGTCAGTGCGCCTTCAGCAGCTTAAATATTGATTCCTGTTGTTCCACTTCTGAAACTTCTGATATCACATAATCTCCAATCGTTATACAATACACTTCACAAGTCACTATTAGCTAAATCAGAATTCTTGATTACACATTTTCCCATAACAGATTTACCTGACATAGAACTGAATTACCATACCTACACATCTATAGGCCTGTCATTCACTTTATACCCGTGAAGATCCGGGTTAGAATGTGGCTTCAGGAACCCATGCTTGTCGTAAGAGGCGACTAACGGGATCGGGTGGTCAGGCTCGCTGACTTGGTTGACACATGTCATCGGTTTCCAATTGAGCAGATCGATGTTCATGCTGTTGATCAGTG